GCAGGTAGCTTCTCAGTGACGGGACGCACCTGCCGTACGGGCCACACCTGGACCATCGTGAACTTCTCCTTCACACCCTCAAATTCTAGCTCCAGCACGACATCCTATGGCAGAAAAAAACCCCCGCTAAGAGTAAAATGGCTGGAAACGGCTAGCAACGAGCCACTGGAAATCTGCTGCTGGCTTCTGCAGAGTCGAGGTAGACCTCCCATGACATGTAGGTGGTCCTGCAGTCATTTCTGATAGATCGACGATGCAGGGCAGAAGAGGAAGGGAGGGAGGGAGGGAGGAAGGAAGGAAGGGAAAGCTGCCATTTCTCTCTCAGGGCAGACACCTTCCAGAATCTCTCACATGGGATCTCCCCAGGCTAAGTAGGCCCCTCTGAAAGCTCTCTCCAGGCAAGGAACTCACATCCTTCCCAACAACCCTACTCAGCTAGGAGCTTCTCAATTGCAGCGCGTTTCTGCTGGTGGAAACTGCTTCCCCTGCCTTCCTCTCCCAGGAGGAGCGGGACTCAGGGAACTTGACTTGGGCAACGGCCTGTTCCCCAACAGCCTGTCAGGCACACCACAGATGCTTCCTAGGGTGTCATGCCTGCCCCCGATCCGGCACCCTGGGAGCTCTGAAACGGAGGACTCCGTGCCTTTAACATCATCAGAGGCACGAGAGTCCTTGCCAAACTCCAGGACAGCTTGCGCCCGAAGCCGATCAGGCAGTGCCTGGCCCCAGCAGTACGCCACCCGATTCTCCGCCACCTGTCGATTGACCGGCTGAGGAATCAGAGACGCCGGACTTGGCAACCAGATGCAAGGAGGCACTCGGAGAACAATGAGCCCGGAGTTCTAGCAGAATCAAGGACTTCGCAAGGCAGTGCTAATGAGTTAATGACCCAGCACCTATTTGAACAAGTCACTGACTGCTGACAAATCGTGCTGGCAAACTAGTCCTTCAGACCAGAAGCTCTGCACCTCTGACCCTGTGCCTGATATCCCATACTGACTTCCCGGTTCCTGAATCCAGTCCGTGTTTTGACAACTCTCTGGCTCTTCATCCTTGGCTCTGCACCCTGACATGCAAGACTCGCTTCTCTGGACTTTGACCCTTGGTAGCTTGGCTTTGTGTACTGGGACGCTGGCTCTGCTTGTTTTTGGTCTTTCTGGCTTTGACTCAGGGACTGAACTGTAAACTCTCCCTCTCTGCCCGGCCCCCTGGCTCTGTCGTGACATAGGGACAGAACTCTCTGTCCAAAGGACTACAGAGCACAACCAACTCTGGCCTCTGAACAGATCACTGAAGTATAAATCGCCTGTTAAATCCCTGGACACACATGCCCAGTCTACCCCTCCCCAGGCAGCACCCTTGTCTTGTCAATCCATTCCTCTCAAACATGCCACGATTACTGGGGAAAGGCTGAGGTCTCTACTGGGGGAGTGTCTCTCTCGGTCTCCCTCTTTTATGGAGCGAGAGAGAGCCTACAGGATCATATGGGCAGTGTCTTTGAGTTGCAGCCCCTGGATCAAGAGCTTGGACATCTTTCAGGCAGTGCAAATGGAAGCCATTTGCTTTCACCAGTGATAACAGACAACACAGGTTCAAACTTAATCTGGAGAGACACTTACAGATGCATCGTAGTTCCCAGGCGGAGCAATGTATGTCACTGTGCCCCTGTTCCGCGGAGGCAGCATGATCTTGTGTTTGATGAGAGAGTTTTCATTTACGAGGCCATAAATATCTCCACCGGTGATATGACTGCCAACCTGCAATTGGGGAAAAAAAGACTTCTAATGCAATGCACATCTTACTTTGTAAGTTCACATGTGGCCCACAAGAGTCACTAAGGACTTTGTGGGCCTTATACTAGAAAACCACTCTGTTCCACTGTTTCAATGGTGCCACCCACAACATAGGGCTCTGCCGCATTCTCATTTTTGTGGTTTGTGCATCCCTATTGCTTTGTGTGTGTTTTTTTTTTTTTGGGGGGGGGTCTTTTCTGCATGTGTTTTGCTCCCTCCTGTGATTGATTCGATATTACATGGCTGTATGTCCCGCATACCTCCCTCCAGGTTTAACTTGTAGGTTTTTATGCCAGACATACAACGATGTAATATCAAATCAGTCACTGGAGGGAGCCAAACACTTGTGGAAAAGGAAACCCCCCCCAAAGGGACATACAAGCCTCGAAAATGAGCAATACCGCTGGGTTAGGCTGACTGGCCATTTGAACATCGGTGCCATAGCATCCCCCTCTTTGACTCAATGTGATGTACAATAGGGAGCGAGTATGTGAGTCACGATAGATCCCTGGGAGTTGCCCACTGTAATTAATTGTTTTAAATTGTTTTAACCGTATTTTATTGCACCGTGTGCCCTAATGGTGTAATTGTGGGGTTGTCTTACACCTATGTCCTGTAAGCCGCCCTGAGCCCGCGTGCGGGGAGGGTGGGATATAAATGCAAATAAATAAATAAATAAAAAAGAATGCAGAAGAGCCTACAATAAATAGCAGATACTGGCTTGTTTGACATTTCATAGCCAGCCTTACAAAACCTTATGCCACATTCCACTTGCAAATTTTCTCGGGATCTAGAAGCCAGCCCCAAAATTTAGGAGCCAGGCTCATATTTTGGCCTTCAGGGTTAGGTACAACGACATTTTCTAATGATTGCACCACACATGCACAAAACAACAACTGGGCACCACAATGAAATTTCTAGATGCCATGGTGACCTGGTGACTTGGATTTGTCAAGCCCTGGCACGTTTTGTACCAGGGGTCCCCAATGTGGTGCCCATGGACTCAATGATATCTTCTAACACCTTTCCTGGTGCCCGCCAAGTGTTTTTTAGAAAGTGGACGGGGCCAGGCAGAACCTTTGCTCAGCAAGGCTTCTGGCTGGCTATCTGTGATTCGATTGGCTTTGCAGATTTTTTAAAAAATGTTACTTTGGCAGCAGCTGCCACCACAGGACAAGGCTCTTCACTGTCTCGTTGACTGGAAACTGGGGCAGCCATTTTGTTGCTGGATCTACCTCCCGCGGCAGCCATTTTGTGGCTGTGCCCACCACCCGGTGTCAGAAGTCCAAAGACGCCTGCAGGCTCAGGAAGGTTGGGGACCCCCGTTCTGTATTTTCAGCCTCCCTCTTGCTGCCTTTGTTTGAACAAAAACAAAGGCCTCAGAAAGGCAAGTCACAGTTCAACCATGGCGCGCAGTTTATTCAGTACCAAAAAAACCTCCTGCAGCACTATTTGGATAGCTTCTTCACAACCTACCCGCAGGTTTTTGAGAGGCGCAAAATCCCATTTGAGGTCTCTGCTGAGAGCCGTCACGTTTACTCCTCTGGGGATGTAGATGCTTTGGGTCAGAGCGCTGATGTCCGACAGGGGCCTCTGGATGCCATCAAAAATGGCTCCCATGATGCCGGGCCCCAGCTCCACCGACAGAGGTTTGCCAGTACGCAGGACGGGGTCTCCTACAGAAACGCCAGCTGAGTTGGTTGAGGAAAAGCATACCCGGGAAGGTGACGTCCCATGAGCCAGAAAACACTGGTCCCCTGGTTCCCTAACGTGCAAACCTGTCATGCTTGACCACAAAGAATTCTAGCAACTGATTTTAAATTTAAAAAGCTGGTGGGGGGGAGGGGGGAGAAGAGAAAGAAGAAGAGGAGGAAGAAGACGACGATAAAAGTGGATTTATACCCCACCCTTCACATGGAGTCTCAGAGCGGCTTACAGTCTCCTTTCCCTTCCCCTCCCCACAACAGACACCCTGTGAGGTGGGTGGGGCTGCAAGAGCTCTGAGAGAACTGCTCTTGAGAGAACAGCTCTGAGAGAACTGTGACTGACCCCAGGTCACACCAGCAGCTACACGTGGAGGAGTGGGGAATCAAACCCGGTTCTCCCAGATTAGAGTCCGCGCTCTTAACCACTACGCCAAACTGGCTCTCTGTGAGCACATAATACAGTCTCCTAATACTGATGTGTCAGTCCCTGAAAGATTCTGCTGTGCAGCAGAGCATCTCTAGAGTGACCGATTCAGCTCCAGACATCATCAGCCAGCTCAAAGGTGTTTTATTAGCTGGTTTGGCTTGCCAAATTAAGGTGGAGGCTGCTTGTGCCTAAACACGAGCTAAGAAAAATGGCCTCCGTGAGAGATGTTATTAGATTGTGAAGCCTCAGGTAGCCTCTCGCAGTTACCCAGTCTGGTCTCTTGAATCAAAGATCACGGAAGCGCAATTAGTCTTCACTACCTTGTAAAGTGAACAATGCAGATCCCCAGGCTAACTGCACGATCTTATGGAGGGCTTCATCGGGGACTCTGTGAGCCGTTCCAAGATACTGCCTTATTTTTCAGTCTCTCGGCCTTTGCTAGTAACCCCCAATGGCACTAATACTCTCATGCCCCCAAATGTAATTCGGCTACACCCAATGCAGGGTGGAAATAATACCTACCATCAGGGCTATTTTTGGGCAGGAACGCACAGGAACGGAATTCCGGCTGGCTCCTGAGTTGGCCACGCCCAGCAGGAACTCATTAGCATAATAGGCCACACCCAACAGCAGGAACTCATTAGGATTGGCTACATTAGGGGTGTGTGGCCTAACATGCAAAGGAGTTCCTGCTACAAAAAAAGCCCTGGGTTTTGACAACAAACAAAGTAAACAGAATAAGACGAGAAAGGTGGGTGTGGCTGGATGAGCACACTTCTGGTAACATGGGGGTGCGGCCTAATGTGCTAATGAGCAGTGGCCTAATATGCTAATGAGTTTTGCTGTTGGGTGTGGCCTAATATGCTAATGAGTTTTGCTGCTGGGTGTGGCCTATTATGCTAATGAGTTCCTGCTGGGCTCAAATGCTATTATCGCATCCACTTCCTGGCCTGCATGTAAAGTTCTTTTCTTTTTTGCCATCAAGTCTACAGCTGACTTATAGCGACCCCTAGCGGGGTTTTCGAGGCAAGAGGCGTTCAGAGGGGGTTGGCCACTGCCCGACTCTGCGTAGCAACCCTGGATTGCCTTGGTGGTCTCCCCATCCAAACACTAAACAGGGCTGACCCTGCCAAGCTGATGAGATCGGGATGGCCTGGCTTATCCAGGTCAGGGTGGACCCTAATTTAAAAGGTTTTATAGGTATAAATTTGCCCCGGGGGGGGGGGGGGCACTTGGAGAAGGCGGGGTTGGGGTAACCCTTCCCTTGTGATTGTGACTCAAAACTGGGTCTCATTTTGGAGAGCTTGTTGGTTCTACACATATAGTAAAGTAAAGGTAAAGGTTCCCTTGCTCGAAAGCCAGTCGAGTCTGACTCTAGGGTTGCGGTGCTCATCTCCGTTTCAAAGCTGAAGAGCCAGCGCTGTCCGAAGACGTTTCCGTGGTCATGTGGCCGGCATGACTAAACACCAAGGCGCATGGAACGCTGTTACCTTCCCACCAAAGTGGTACCTATTTATCTACTTGCAATGTCTTGCTTTCGAATTGCTAGGTTGGCAGGAGCCGGAACTAGAGATGGGAGCTCACTCCATCATGCGGCACACTCGGGTCTCGGACTGCTGAACTACCGACCTTCCACAGCCTGCAGTTCAGTGTCTTAACCACTTGAGCCACCGCAGCTCCTTTCTACACACATACTATTTGTGTAATTAAACAGCCACGTATACCTGGCATACAAGGTAAAAGCATAAAATCCCCCACACACACCAAAAAGGGGCAGGGGTAACCGGTAGACGTTTTGATCACTCTATTATAAGTATTGGAGGGGAGGCAGCATGGCATAGCCCCATCTCGTCAGATCTTGGGAGCTAAGCAGGGTCGGTACTTAGAAGGGAGACCACCAAGGAAGACTCTGCAGAAGGAGGCAATGGCCAACCACCACCTCTGCTTCTCACTTGTCTTGAAAGCCCCTTTGCTGGGGTCACAGTAAATCAGCCGTGACTTGAGGGCACTGTACACACACAGTCTAAAATGTGGAATGGCATGGTATAGCCCCATCTCATCAGATCTTGGAAGCTGAGCAGGGTCGGCACTTGGAAGGGAGACCACCAAGGAAGGCTCCGCAGAGGAAGGCGATGGCCAACCCCCTCTCCTTCTCACTCACCTTGAAAGCCCCTTGCTGGGATTGCCATAAGCCAACTGCAACTTGACAGCACTTTATACATATATTATAACAATATCCACCCTGCTCAGAATTACTGATTATCTATTATTACACAACTAATTTCAGATACATGGCTACCCTTTTTTGAATTAATTGGAAAATCTAAGCGGCAAATCCACAAAAGGCCTTTGAATGTAGTCAAATCTAGAATGTATAAAAAATCTAGAATGTAGTCAAATCTAGAATATTTTAAACATCTCACTCACCACCCAAATTCTAAAGGTTGTGATTACACAAATGTTTACAGATCCAAATATGCATATCTTGGAACACTGCTTTTTTATTGTTATTCTTGGTCCTTCTTTCATAGTTAATTAACTGTTTTATTCATTTTTATAATCCGTTATTAAAGTTATTACCCATAAATACTGCTAAAATAGTGGGGGGTTTTAGAAGCACAATAAATGGACTTTAAAAATTCTCTTTTCCCCCATACGTACACACGATCTGCATTCAGCTACTCGGCAACCTTCTTCTGTTACTAAAACCTGAAGCTGAATTTATTTGCTTGACTTATTTAGGAACCACTGCACCACAAACAAGTTAACAGCACCCCCTTGACATTTAATTTAGAGAGCCAGTTTGGTGTAGTGGTTAGAAGCGTGGACTCTGATCTGGGAGAACTGGGTTTGATTCCCCACCCCTCCACTTGTACCTGCTGGCGTGACCTTGGCCAAGCCATAGTTCTGACAAGAGCTGTCCTTGAAAGGGCAATTCTTGAAAGAGCTCTCTCAGCCACACCTACCTTATAGGGTGTCTGTTGTGGGGAGGGGAAGGGAAAAGGAGTTTGTAAGCCGTTCTGAGACTCCGAGTGAAGGGCAGGGTATAAATCCAGTCTCTTCTTCTTCTTTAATGACATTTTGCAGTGTGGATTTTTCCCAGGGCTTTTGAGATACAAGAGCGTGTGTTTATCCAAATCAGAAATAATGTGGCCGATGTTCACAGACTCTCCCACGGCAAAGCATCCCCAAGACTTTGCCCTGGCGACATCCCCCTCCCCCAAGAATACGAGAGTCTTCACGTAGTTTCCGCCTCATAATAAAAGCCGGTCCCACTGTTTGGAGGCACTGAGTTCCTTCTTTAGAGGAAGCCTAATTGAACTGAAAATGCCCATCCAACCACCTGTTAACGATGGAACACAGTGAGACTGCAAGGGAGAAACTGAGGACTAAAGAAATTCCTCCTTGTCCAGAAACATGGCTGTGTTATCAATGACGATGATGGTACCACAGAGAGTGTCTTCTGCAATGAATGGCTCAGAGCCCATTCAGTTTGTTTGTTCCCCACAAATCGCCCCTCCTCCCCTTGCGAGTCCCATGTTCAACCCGCCCTCTGAAGCAGAAAACTGCACAAAAAGGAAGGATACAGGTTTCTTCGTACACCTGAATAGTCGCCATGTCGCCCTCCAGCCGGATAATCTCTCCCACCAGTTCGCTGTGGCCAACTCGGACCAGCTCGTACATCGCTGCACCCGACATGTAGCAGGCAGTGACCACTGGGGAGAACAAAAACCGGAGACAGCTGTCATTTCCCATCCTGTGGGTGGGAAGTGACAATTCGGAAGCTTTGCATTCATGGCTTCTGCAAATCTCGTCTTTAATGTTTGCTATGGAGAGTCATAGGGGACTGGAATGCTAAAGTAGGAAGTCAAAAGGTAACTGGAATAACAGACAAGTTTGGCCTCGGAAAGCAAAATGAAGCAGGGCAAAGGTTAACTGAGTTTTGTGAAGAGAACACACTGGTCATAGCAAACACCCTTTCCCAACAACCTAAAAGGCGACTCTACACATGGACATCACCAGATGGGCAACACCGAAATCCGATTGACTATATAATTTGCAGTCAAAGATGGAGAAGCTCTATCCAGTCAGTAAAAACAAGACCTGGAGCTGACTGTGGCTCAGATCATGAGCTACTCATTGCAAAATTCAGACTTAAACTGAAGAAAATTGGGAAAACCACTAGGCCATTCAGGTTTGACCTAGATCGCATCCCTGATGAATATACAGTAGAGGTGAAGAATAGATTCAAGGGTCTAGATTTGATAGATAGAGTGCCTGAAGAACTATGGACGGAGGTTCGTGACATTGTACAGGAGGCAGCAATCACCACCATCCCAAAGAAAAAGAAATGTAAGAAAGCAAAGTGGCTTTCTGATGAGGCTTTACAAATAGCAGAGGAAAGAAGGAAAGCGAAAGGCAAAGGCGAAAAGGAAAGATTTACCCAACTGAACGCAGATTTCCAGAGAACAGCAAGGAGAGATAAGGAGGCCTTCCTGAATGAACAGTGCAAAGTAATAGAAGAAAACAATAGAATGGGAAGGACTAGAGATCTCTTCAAGAAAATTGGAGAAATCAAGGGAGCGTTCCATGCAAAGCTGGCCATGATAAAGGACAAAAACGGTAGGGACCTAACAGAAGCAGAAGAGATTAGGAAAAGATGGCAAGAATACACAGAAGAACTATACAAGAAAGACCTCGATGTCCTTGACAACCACGACGGTATAATCACTGACCTCGAGCCAGACATCCTGGAATGTGAAGTTAAATGGGCCTTAGAAAGCATTACTAACAACAAAGCTAGTGGAGGTGATGGTATTCCAGCTGAGCTATTCAAAGTCTTAAAAGATGATGCTGTTAAAGTGCTGCACTCAATTTGCCAGCAAATTTGGAAAACGCAACAGTGGCCACAGGATTGGAAAAGGTCAGTATACATTCCAATCCCAAAGAAGGGCAATGCCAAGGAATGTTCAAACTATTGCACAATTGCACTGATATCACATGCTAGCAAGGTCATGCTCAAGATCCTACAAGCTAGGCTTCAACAGTACGTGGATAGAGAACTGCCAGAAGTACAAGCTGGGTTTCGAAGAGGTAGAGGAACTAGAGATCAAATTGCCAACATTCGCTGGATTATGGAGAAAGCAAGAGAGTCCCAGAAAAACATCTACTTCTGCTTCATTGACTATGCTAAAGCCTTTGACTATGTGGATCACAACAAACGATAGCAGGTCCTTAAAGAGATGGGAGTACCAGACCACCTCACATGTCTCTTGAGAAACCTGTATAAGGGCCAAGAAGCGACAGTTAGAACCGGATATGGAACAACTGATTGGTTCAGCATAGGAAAAGGAGTACGACAAGGATGTATATTGTCACCTTGCTTATTTAATATATATGCAGAGTACATCATGCGAAATGCTGGCCTGGATGAATCACAAGCGGGAATTAAGATTGCTGGGGAAAAGATCAACAACCTCAGATATGCAGACGATACCACTCTAATGGCAGAAAGTGAAGAGGACCTAAAGAGCCTCTTGCTCAGGGTAAAAGAGGAGAGCGCAAAAGTGGGCTTGAAGCTCAACATCAAAAAAACTAAGATCATGGCATCCGGTCCCATCACTCCTTGGCAAATAGAAGAGGAAGTCGTGGAAGTAGTGACAGACTTCACGTTCCTGGGATCCCAGATCACTGCAGACTGTGACAGCAGCCATGAAATTAAAAGACGCCTGCTCCTTAGGAGGAAAGTGATGGCGAACCTAAACAGCATGATAAAAAGTAGAGACATCACCCTGCCAACAAAAGTCCGCATGGTCAAAGCAATGGTATTCCCAGTAGTCATGTATGGCTGCGAGAGTTGGACTATAAGGAAGGCCGAGCGCCAAAGAATAGATTCTTTTGAACTATGGTGCTGGAGAAGACTCTTGAGAGTCCCTTAGACTGGCAAGAAGATCAAATCAGTCAATCCTAAAAGAAATCAGCCCTGACTGTTCCCTGGAAGGCCAGATAATGAAACTGAAGCTCAAATACTTTGGCCACCACCAAATGAGAAGGGAGCACTCACTGGAGAAGGCCCTGATGCTGGGAAAGATTGAAGGTCAAAGAAGATGGGGACGGCAAAGGATGAGATGGTTAGACAATGTCATAGATGCAACAGACATGAAATTGAGCCAACTTCAGAGGACGGCGGAAGACAGGAAGGCCTGGCGGGAGATGATCCATGGGGTCGCGAAGAGTCGGACTCGACTGTGCAACTGAACAACAACAACAAATGAAGAGTCAGAAATCTTATACGAAGTGAGACAGACAAGGTGCACATAGTTCTGAAATGGCACGAAGGCACAATGTTAGGTGACATATTTCTCCAAATTCTGGCGTTGCATGATTTGACGCAGTTAAAAGATGTCTGCCCAAGGAGCCACATTTGACAGCTTCTACTGTGCAGGTGCAACGTCAGCTCCGTAGGAGAAAGGCTGAACAAAGAGGCACTCACCAGGTCCTGAGACTCCATGGACGTAGCCGAACGCGCTCTCTTGTTCTTCATCACGGATTTTTGGAAGCTTGGAGAAATCCATCTTAACTGTTCTCCTATTCAAGTGAGGGGAGGGCAGAAGAGGAAGAAAAGATTAGGGTTTTTGGGAGGTTTTTTTGTTAAAGACTGCATTCTGCGTTATTAGCTTGCCCACGACTTTGGACTTCAAGCAAGGCACGGACAATGATTGCGTCTAATTTGCTAGCAAAACTCGCATTTCCTTTGTTCTGTAGCCTTGAATTTGGGATAAAAAGGCATGTCCGGTAACCTAATCTCTAAGCAGTTGTCGTTTTGTTAGCCTTGGCTATGCGGTGACTCTTACACACTTAAGGTCTTTGGCATCTTACAGGATGTAGTGTGCCCTGCAATCTCCCTAATCACCGCTGCGGATCTGGAATGTAGGTGGAGGGGGACAGAAGTTTAGACTCTACTTCAATAGCACGAGTGTCACAAGTGGAGTAAGCTTTTTTCCTTCTTTTTTTGGGGGGGGTGTATTTTTTATATTTTTTAAAATATGTGTGCGCGCGCACACACAAACACTTGGAAGTGATGATGACCTCTGGTGGCTGATCCCTACTGGGGGCCTGGAGGAAATTCAGAGAGGTGGCTGGATAAGGCCTGCCCCTGCCTCTGGTGTTCCTTGGAGGTCTCCCATCCAAGTATTTGCCAGAGTTGACCCTGCTTAGCTTCCAAGATCTGACGAGATCGTGCTTGCCTGGGCTATCCAGGTCAGAGCAAGTGGAGTAAGCTTTTGAGAGCTTTTCTGAGTCCAAGTCAGGAGGAAGAATGTACAGGTGTAGTAGCAGTAGTAGTAGTAGAATTTATTGTATTTAGCCATTGGTCATTACAAATTGTACAAAACCATAAAATACATTTAACAGGTAAAATTTTAAGATCAGTCGTTAAATTTAAATTAATTAGTAAAACAGAATGGTCTGATCCAGCCAGAAATTCATGCTGCAACCCCATTCAGTACCGCCCTAGCTTTAATCTTCAGTACAAGGGCGAATAGGGAAACTCCGTAAGATACATAAAAATCGTTATCTGATAACAGGAACAACATCTTCTCATTTTCAGAGTATGCATTTAAGGCAGATAAAATTCCAGCCAAAAATTTATCTCTGATATCACTGTATAGCGGACAAGATAAAATATAATGAGGGAAATTCTCTCAACTGCGGGTTATCCAGAAATGCAGACGCAGTGTTCTGTTGGAGTAACGACCAGCCAGAATTGCACGGTTTGAAAACGCGGAACAGTAAAAGACACACCTAAGATTGTGTTTGGAAATATTAACTAAATAATTAGATGTAAAGTGGTCAGATTTAATTAATTTGTACCAAGGGGCTGCTTTAGATTTTAAGATTGCTCGATCTATCAATGCGTCTGAATTGTAAATCCAGTCCCTACGCTGAGAATTGTCACCTGAGGGCCCTAAGAGATCATCAGCAACGGTATATCTTTGAAAGATGGCGTTGAGAAAACCAGAGCGCATAGAATCTTTTGACAATAGAAGATTCACTGATTGATGACTTAAGGAATTAGATCCAAAGGATTGGATCCTTTTCCTGTATTTTATGACTGCAAGGTGTAAATGTACAGGTGGCTTTCGAACTGCTTCATCTTGGCTTGTAGATTAGCACAGCAACTCCGCAAAAGCAGATGGGTATTGCCTAGGAAGGCACTTCTCACAGTCATGCCCTATTTCGGAACTCGGGCCACCTGTGGAAAGGGAGCTGGATCCTACCCCCCAAAGTTTGAAGCCTTCCCCCAAGCTAAGGAAACTTCCCGAAACCTAAATGGCTCTTCTGTTGGGGGACAGCTGCTTGGAGGATGGCTGGATTCACCCTAATAGTTTTTTTTTGGGGGGGGGGGTGAAGTCCCATGTCCCACGGATGTCTGGCCATCACAGGCTGATGGAAAAGCAGCTGGATGGGAGTTAGCAGGTCCTGCACCCAAGGAGACCCACCAGCTTGGCAAGCCTACTAGCTGTCTCCTTCCAATCTTGGTCAGCACCCCAGCCACTGGAAAGGTAAGAGGGGGAAAGGGAGTGGGTCAAGCCCTTTTGGGTTTCTACAAGAGCTTGCGTATGGACGTAGGTGACAGTGAAAAGAGACAACAGAAGTCCTTTCTGGAGGAGTCAGTTCAGTGGGAATGGAAGAAACCAGTCCCAGGGGTAGCCGTATGATCTGTTCCCCCATGTCCGCCTTATTTGTTCTCAGATTTGCAAACTGGAAAGCTTGTACGGTTAACCCACTATGCACATGGTGTGGCTAGGAAGGGCAAGAAATGGTCATGGCAGAAACCTTTTGCAAAAATCCAGCATGTGTGACCATCTGTCCTCAGCCCCTTCCTTAAGAGCCCACCGGCACCACAGTCTGTATTACTTATTGGTCCGGGTTATCACCAGGCATCAACAGCTGAACGCCGGTGCATGTGAAGATCTAACTGGCCCAAGGGCAAAGATCCAGCCTGCCGTGGGCTTGTTCTGAACCCAACCCTGGTCGCCTGACCTGCCATTACTTCAGACAACCAACAGATACCCCACTAATTAAGCTTCTTGAACATAACTTACTTAAAGAGGAAGCCATCGATTAATACATTTTTATTGAACATAACTTACTTAAAGAGGAAGCCACCGATTAATACATTTTTACTACGGGATTTACTGCAATTCCGCAAGGCCTGCAGGACGGAGCTCTCCCACCAGGCATTCAACTGAGGAGCCGCATCTAATAGTTCAACGAAGACTGAGAACCTATGCTCTGGTGGGCCCGTGCTGTACTGATCCAACTGGAAATACATTATAATCGATTAAGACAACAACCCTATAACTGCTGCTGACTATGCCCACTATGAGGGGCCGCGGTGGCTCAGAGGTTAAGTCGCTGAGTTGCGGACCAGAAGATCGGTAGCTCGGCAGTTCGAGACCCTAGTGCCACGTGACGGAGTGAGCTCCCATCTCTGGCCCCAGCTCCTGCCAACTTAGCAGTTCGAAAGCAAGAAATTGCAAGTAGATAAATAGATACCCGCTTTGGTGGGTGGGTGCACCTCCGCATTTAGTCATGTTAGCCACACAACCACGGAAAAGTCTTCAGACAGCACTGGCTCTTCAGCTTGAAAACGGAGATGAGCACCACCCCCTAGAGTCAGATTCGACTGGCTTTCGAGCAAGGGAAGCCTTTAACTATGCCCACTATGGCAAATATCGAAACTGTACTTCGCCATCATATATGTATCATTTGTACTTTACAATTGTTTTAGAACTGTTCTGTGTTTTTTAATTTGTTCTGAACCTTTTATGTAAGCTGCCCCAAGACTGCTTTGGTGGGGAGGGCGGGGTAAAAATAATCGAATAAATAATATAAATTTTCAAACAATTGTACAATGACGCAGATTCTCACCTTCAGCTGCCATTCAGTATGGGAATGGGAACTGGTGCTTAGAAGGTTACGTGACTTGTACACAACAACAAGGAGAAGCCACCAAGTCAGCCTGATCAGCTCACGGAGTGAGATATCCCGGAATCTGGATTCTCCCACAATGGATAGGTGGGAGACTGAATCGTTTGTCCTATGTTAAACAGCTTAATGGTTCTTCCAAGGCGGTGGACGGGAGATGTATGCGAAAGCGAAGTGATTAAAGGTTAATAGAATGGGCGTTCCTGACACGGCCCTCGAAAACTTCTCAACAGTAAACGCCAAAGAATATTAAGGTTGGATCATTACAGCAGCGTCTTCCCTGCGTCCAACCCTATATACTTTCCTACAACCTGCAGACAGGAGGTTTCGAGACTTAGAGATTAGGTGTAACCGAGAGATACAGTGACTTATCTGAGGTCCTCTATGGAGTGAACTCTGGACCAGGGAATTCTCTCTCTCACAGCTCAGACTGTCAGTCTGAGCTGTGTGAGAGAGAATTCCCTGGTCCAGAGTTCACTCCCTAGAGGGCCTTAGATAAGTCACTGTGTCTCAGTCTCCTTAGCTATCTGTAGTAGAGGGACAGTACTGACCTACCCTACAGGATAAGAAGGAGCTGCGGTGGCTCAAGTGGTTAAGACGCTGAACTGCAGCCTGTGGAAGGTCGGTAGTTCAGCAGTTCGAGACCCGGGTGTGCCGCATGACGGAGTGAGCTCCCGTCTCTAGTTTCAGCTCCTGCCAACCTAGCAGTTCGAAAGCAAGAAATTGCAAGGTACCACTTCGGTGGGAAGGTAACAGCGTTCCGTGCGCCTTGGTGTTTAGTCATGCCGGCCACATGACCACGGAAACGTCTTTGGACAGCGCTGGATCTTCGGCTTGGAAACGGAGATGAGCACCGCAACCCTAGAGTCGGATTCGACTGGCTTTCGAGCAAGGGAACCTTTACCTTTACAGGATAAGAAGAATGTGCTGTCGAGTCACAACTCGCGGCCACCTCATCGACAGGGAGTTCAGGGAAGATGGTTTGCCATTGCCTTGTTGTTACTGATATCATGGACTGGTTCCTAGCTATTGCCCGTGGAAGTGAAGATCTTTATCGCACTCTCTCCCTCCCCTTCCGACACCCAGAAAGTAATTTCCTGGAGATGTAGGATTAATAGCGACAGGAGTTGGGGGGAGAGGGGAAAGGGGGGGCGAAAGCACTCTTGGCTACCGTAGGTCTTATGATGGAAGAAGCAGAAAGGTGAAATTTCACCTCCTCCCCCCCCCCCGCCTTGCACACAGTGGTCTCCCCATCCATGTGACCCTGGCAATCTACTTCCTGGGGGCGGGGGTCAGGAGAGACTACAGGAGCACAAAAAGAACATGGCAAAGATCTGTGTTCTTTCCACTGAAGGCAGCTAGGATCCAACTGGATGTACGCGATCCACTTTAAACACTGCACAAGCAGCAACTTTGTTATGAATGTACATTTAAAAAAATCAGAACTAGAAGTCATAGACTCTGGTTAAAGATGTAAAGATGCCACTGAGGAGTCGGCTGCAAAACCCCCGAGGGGAAGAAGACAGAGAACAGGCACCATATAGATACACGGGAAGATGTATACAAAGCAACAGATTCAATTTCTGACCGTTCCA